AAATGGTTGAAAAAAGATATCATTTTTGTCTGAATTCCGATTCGAATGAAAATAACTTGAATTTCGATTTGCAATCAAAAGACGGCAAAAGTCTGGGAATCGATCTCCAGATCCAGAATTTGGGACAAAAGGCGCTCAAAATGGACATTAATTGGTCGCCGAAACTGATCCAAGACGTGATCCGAACGCTGCGGAAGTCACGTGACGCGCGCTCCTACTCTTCGTCGGAGTTCTCGATCATTTCCGACGAATTCATAGACGAGTTGTCGCACAAAATGGCTGTGATTTCGCGGCAGGCGTCGGACGACGTGTTCGAACCCGTCGTGACTCTTCTGTCGGACGAAATGCAAGACGTTTTGCAGGAAATGTGGAAAAACTTCGGCCCGAAGATGTCCTATACGCTGGACAAGTGGCAACAGCTGATCGCCGACTCTTATGAGCAACTCGCGCGCCTCTACCGGCAAATAATGAAGGCGTACGACCACGTGATCCCCGACTGGGCGCACAACGTCTACCAGCGCTCCATTAGAAGCGCGCGCCGCCAATGCAAACGCAGTGAGACGTGTTACAAGGCGTTGTACGCGTTGGAGAACTACGGCGTGGACGCCTTAATGGACCTCTTCTACGCCACGGCCATCGAGACGGCGCACACCACTCACCGCGTCGTCATGACGACGAGTGGGAAGTTGTGGCGCGCGTTGCCGAATGCGCCCCAATGGCTGCGAGAGTACGGCTGGCAATACAAGCAATGGATTCGCGATTCCTTCGACTCTTTGATCGCTTCGAACGACGATTTGCGACAATTCGTGGCTCACGTGCAGCGCCTTCTGGCGGAGCTCACGAAAGACAACTTCCAGGAGATCGAGTGGCCGAAAGTGGGCGCCTCTCTCCGCCAGATGGCAGACGTGGCGCTGTCGTCGCAGACGTCGTCGCGAGTGTTGGTGTGGGACCCGGCGAGAGGGCGCGTGAGTGTGGAGTTGCGAACTCCGCTGCAGTCGCGCCGACTCCGGTCGGTGATGACAGACGTGAAGAACAAAGTGCTGAAGAGCGAGAATCCTCTGCAGAAAAAGTGGAAACAAATCAAACAATTCGTCAAAAGTATGTTTTAATCGAGAATTTGTGTAAAATTTGTCTAAATTTCTGAAAATAAATACTATTTTTTGCATTAAAACGTGTTTTTCATTGAAAAGTGTCAATAATTTGGACACAAGAAGTGATTGTCAATAAAAACAGTGATTTTGTTGAAAAAAAGGCGAAATTTTTGGCAAAAACTTCTGATTTTGAGTTAAATTTGAATAAAAATAAAACAAAACTAAAATTAAAATTCGGAAAAAAGTGAGTTTTTGGCGAAAAATGATTCCATTTTTGACTTTTCGTCTCGTTTTTAGTGAAATTCAAATCAAAAAAGAGTTGTTTTGGAAATCGAAGGAAAATTCAAGTGATTTTGAAATTCAATTCATTTCCGAAAAAATGATTGAAATTTCGGGAAAACTGAAAAATTCGACGAAATTTTCCTTAAAATGGATTCCTTTTCGAGATTTTGTATTCATTTCTGACTTTTCCACAAATTATTGAACTTTTTCTCTATTTTTCAGATTTCTCTGAAATTCGAAAACTTTTCCGAAAATTCTTTGAGAATTGGAACAAAAATTTCGCCAAAAATTGGAGAAAATTCTCGAAATTTGAATTCATTTTTGTGTCGAAAAATGTTTTCGAATTTCATCGAAAAAATCCCGAAAGAAAGAGAACTTTGTTTCAATTCTCGCGACTTTTGTGACTTCGGAACAACTCTTGTGTTTCGGGAGATAATCGAAAGACTTCCGGAGGAATGTCTTGTTTGCGGCGAAAACCACAGATTCGGCGAAAGAAGACGCGAAACGGCGACCAAAGAGGCGGAAGTGCTGTTCGTGATTGGCTGCGACCTCGAGTCACGTGACGGCAGAGAAATGGCGCGCAATTTGAACCGAATTTCGAACGCTTTGAAACGAGAGTTCGAAAAGCGTTCGATTTTAACGACTTTTCGAACGATTTCTTTGAATTCTGAGAAAAAATATTCGGATTTTTGGCCAAAAAATGATTTGAATTTACGTTTGAATGGAATTCCGATTTCGCGAAACATTAACCAATCGTTTGACTTCCTGTTCGTGACGTCACGACAGCCGCGGGCCTCGCGTCACGTGATTCTCGTCCAATGCGGCGACGGCTGCGAAGAGCGAGACGTGGACTTCCAGTCGGCGCGGAATCACGTGTTGTGAGTATTGTTGTGCTTTTGGGAGAAGAAAATCACGTGTTTTTTCATTGTTTAGAAACGAAAACATTTTTCTTCACGTTTTGACGAAAAATGAGTTCAAAATTCGCGCCAAAAAAGGCCGTCACGTGATCGGAGTGGACGCCGCGCGCGCCTTCGTCTCCTCCGGTCAGTCGGTGGCCGAAGAGCGCGCTCTCCGCTCCGCTATAGGCGTGTCACGTGATTTGTGTCACGTGTTGGCGTTGGAGACGAATGGAACTGTTTTTCGGACCAAAAGTTTGAATTCAAAAAAGTATTAAAAGTTTTGCGAATTTTTCGAAAATTAATTCCGAATTCTCTTCAGTTCTCGCGCTTTGATCGCCCGAAGAGTGGCCGCGAATCACGTGATGGACGCGTGTCTGGACTGCGACTGCGTGGAGGCCAGGGATCGCGTGACGGCGCGCGTCGACTGTCGTCTCTGTGCGGAACGCGAGTCGACGATAAGCGGCGAAAAAGTGGCCGAAAATGGATTCGATTTGAATCAAGAGTGGAATGAAGACACGGATGAAGAAAATGGCGGCGAAGAGGAAGTGGAAGAAGAAGAGGAGGAATGAGAAGAAGTTCTCAATTATGAATTGAATTCCGTTCGAAATGCTCTCTATTTTTGTGAATTTTCACAATTTTTCGAAACTTTTTTACTTTTTTAACGATTTTTTCTATAAATAAACGATTTTTGAGAAAAAAAAGTAATTTTCGGAAAAATTCGAAAAAAATAATTTCTTTTTTCGAAACCAAAAAATAGAGAATTTGTGTGAATTAGTGTTGAATTCGCGACAAGTGTTGCCATCTATTGGTTCGCAAACACACCAATGGTTCGCATATTTGCCGCAAAAGCGCTTCAATCGCACAAAGCGTCGAAACAATGAATAATTAGAGAAATGTTATGAAAAATAATTTAATGAAATAATTGAAAAATAATTAAAAATAAAATAATTGACAAAAAATAAGAGAAAAAAATGACCAAAAAATAGTGTCTTTTTTCATACAAATAATTGATAATAAATGCAAAAATACTGTCATAAAAGGCACGAATTGGCGTTCGATTAGAAAACGGATTTTTCACGACATTATTGTTGTGACGACAGAGACGTCGAGAGAGACGACAAGAGACGACACGAGAGACGACACGAATTAATGAAAGAAAAAGACATGATTTTAAGTGGAATTTGTTGTCCTTTAGATCGAGGATTTCGAGAACGAAACTCTTAAATGAGACGATTCGGAGAGTCTGCGGGAGAGGGAGTGGTCAGCGAGTGGTCAGCAATGGCTGCAATACTCACTGATAGTTATGCATTTTGATGAGCGCGTGAATGGCGTCGTCGACGTTCTGCAACTGGATGAGCGCCATCTTGCGGTCTTTGGGGAAGAACTTGAAGTTGACGACAGGGGCGGCCGTCTCGCGCGTGAAGGCGCCGCGGATGTCCTCCTCCTGCACGGTCTGCGGGATGTTGGAGAGATGGAGAGTGGCGGAGGGCGGGTAGATGTTGCCGAAGTTCTTCGAGCCGGGTTTCTTGAAGCGGTGGAGCGCTGAGGAGGAGAAGTCCTTCGTGAGGCCCGCGTCCTGTCAGGTCAAAGGGGTCAAAGGTTAGGGTCAGAGGTCAGCAGAGATGTGAACTCACGTGTTGTCCCTCTTTGGGCATCTGCACGAGTTGGTGTTTGGAGGGGGTGACGCGGATCACGCGCCCCGACAGCTTCACCTTGTCCAGGTAGGTTTGGGCGAGCTGCGCCTGCGCGGGCTCCGCCATCTGGATCAACGCGTTGTCCTTCTTGTTGAAGAGGATCTTGACGCGGATGACGTCACCGTACACGCCTGTGACGTCAGAGAGAGTGTGAGACACGTGATTGGGAGAGAGAGAGAGCAAAGACAGGGAAAGAGAGAAAGCGAGACAACAATAGAGACATTTACCGAAAAGAGTGAAGAGAGCGTCAGTTGTGGTCGTCTGTCGTCATGACAACACATAAAAGAGAGAAACAGTTGAGAGCGCGAGAGACAAACAATCATTTCTACTATTCTTACGCTTTCGTTGAGGTTAGAGACCAGCAGAACGGCGGAGGCGATAGAGGCCGACATGCCGTTGCCCATCCCGCCCAGCCCCAGGTGCGCGCCCAACTGCCCGAGCGATTGGTGCGACTGGAGCGCGGAGAGGGCGTGGATGGGGTTGAGTGCGCGCAGAGCCTGATTGTTGACGGCGAAGGCGGGGAACAGCTGTTGCGGCGACTGCTGCTGCTGTTGCTGTGACGTCATGAGTGACGACATGAGTTGGTCGGGCATGACGTCATGCGGCGGGCCGTTGGTGTGCGGGAGGGCGGGGTTGGTGTAGTCACGTGACTTGTCGTTGTTGTACTTGACGTTCAATGCCTGCAGTTTGGAGAACTCGATGCGCAGAGTGTTGGCGTTCGGGTGAAAGAGGTTCTGGCCGTCCAGCAGTTGCTTCGCGGCCGCCGCGTCCCGGCCGTCCATGAACTGGATGAGCGCCTGGAAGGAGCCGTTCTTCGTGAAGGTCACAATCTTGGCCACTTTGCCGGCGCGCGAGAACACGGAATGCAGGACTTCGAGCGTCACCGAGTACATCAGGTTCTCCACGATCACGCGCAGCACACAGCTGGGCTCGCGCGACACGCCGTTCTGCACTCCCGGCGACGACTGGCCGTCTGCCGCCATCTGGTGGTCGTTTCCGCCGTTCTGGTGGAAGCCGTTGGTCTTGAGCTCCTTGTGATTACTCAATTGGCAGAACACGTGGCGCCCTCTGATGTTGGGCTGCATCGGAGACGGGATTCCCTGCAAAGTGGACGACAGCCAGAAGTTGACCATTTGTTGCGCCGACTGGAAGTCCAGGAACTCCACGAACGCCTGCGACTTGCCTGCAATGAAGTGGGAGAAGACACGTGACAGTCAATGGATCCAAAGATCTGAAGACATACCTCTGAGGATGAGACAGTTGGTGACGCGGCCGAACGGCGCGGACAGCTGGATCAGGTCGTGCTCGGAGGTGTCGAGCGGAATGTTGCGCACGTGGACGACGCGCGACTTGACGGCGGG